GCTCATTAAGAATTATGGCAAGGATTCTGCCGACCGACGCCACCGAGACGGCTATTATTCCGGTAAGCTAAATCAGTTAAACGATCTCTGGCAGCAGTTTTGCGACCTAGATGAAGAAGTCCAGCAAGCGGCATTACCCACTGGAAGTGAATACTCTTCACGATTAGTAGCACTTAAGGAGCTGGTCGAAAAATATCAGAATATCTTTCTGGACAACATGCCGACTGGAAGCGGGCTTCCAAAGGCCCCGAGACGAACGTCGGCCAACATCAAGATCACAACAAGAGATCAAGTCAAAGGAGATTCCGCAATTGACACGGTGATCCGACAGTTGCAGAGAAGATGCAACGAATTGGAGTCATCATTAACATTAGCCTCGAACGCCCCAACCGTTACCCCAGCCCTACAAAGGCACCTGGATCTGCATTGGGCGTTACTGAGGCAGGCCCACGACGAATTGGACAGCACACCTGGGGCCGCAGCCCTGGCAGAAGCAGAGCTAGCTCAATTCCACACATTATACGAGGAATACGAAATGAACCTGCTTCGGGAAAACGACGCGCCAATGAGCCTAAACTTGGCACTTCCGCCAATTAGCATTCCGGAGTTCAACGGCGAGTATCTAGACTGGCCACGGTTCCATGATCTCTTTGTGGAATTGGTACATAATAAACCTTATTCGGCCAGTCAAAAACTACATATTCTACAGAGTTCGCTTCGTGGTGAAGCGAGAAACGTCTTGACAGACACAGCCTTCTCACAGGGTGGCTATGACGACACCTGGTTGCGTTTAAAGGCCAGGTACCAGAACGGAAAAATACTAGTATTCGCCGCCATAGCAAAAATGGTTGACTATAAGCCTATAGACGGCTGTTCGCGCCAACTAAGGGCCTTACATGACACTATCAAAAACTCAATGAGTACTCTTAAAAACCTCGATGTGAGCACAAAATCCTGGGATCCACTCCTGTGTTTTATTATCAGAAGGAAACTAGACCAGCAGTCTCTAGCTGCTCTGGAAAATTCAGCGGATGCACCAACGGAAATTCCAACGTTAAAAAGTGTACTAACGTTTATTGAACGGCGCGCTTGCATGCTGGAGACGATAAGCGCTCAACCTACAGCAACACTACGCCATCAGTCAGTTTACAACGAAGAGAGCTGTAAGATTTGTCACCTAGGACCACATAATCTTAGAGCATGTAGCCGTTTCCAGGAAATGGACCCCAAAACACGGCGCCAAGCCATTATTCAAATAGGAGCATGCACAAATTGTTTCTCTACAGCTCATATGGTTGAAAACTGTGGATCACCGACCAACTGTCGAGTCTGCCAGCAACGGCATCATTCACTGTTACACAAAGGACCGACTAGCAATCCAGTGGCCGGCGCAGTAACCATTGCAGGCTACGACCACGTAGGAGGATATACCATGCTCGCGACCGCCAAGGTCTCATTACAAGGGCCAAACGGTCAATTACAAACATGTCGCGCTGTAATAGATGGTGGATCACAGGTGAATCTTATCTCAAGGAGAATGGCAGATCTGCTATCTCTTAAAGAAAGGTCATCGATTGAAATATCTGGAATCGGAGGAAAGATATCAACAGCAATTAGATCAACACTAAAGCTCTCATCATGTACATCAGGGTTTGAAAAACTATTAGAGGTATTTATTATGCCCACAGTCATTACAGACCAACCGTCAGTACCGATTACAACCGATCTTAATATTCCCGAGGGACTGCCATTAGCAGATCCTGACTTTCGGCAACCTGGACCCATTGACCTAACCTTAGGGTCTGAGGTGTATTCTCGTGTAATAACCGGTGAACTTCTTGAACTAGGACCTAATAAACCTTTGGCACAAGGCACTAGGCTTGGTTATGTAATCATAGGTTATCTCAATAAAGAAACCTCATCTGATACGGAAATCAACCCTATTCTGGTAGAAGGCAGAGGTGATTTTGCAGGACCGAACGCTGCTTATGAGCCAACAAAAGATAAAAATCCGATGAATATAGAACCGACTTCTCATCAATCTAAAACCTACAAGAAGGCTGACTTTGGTTCAACATGTCCAAACCTAACCAAGAAATATCTTAGTTTTATTGCAGAATGTCCACATACCATAGACGTGCCAAATGATCAAGTTCTACGAGAGCACAATTTCAGTCCCCACGGTAATGTCAATTTTATCGCAAAGGGGAGTGTTAAGCAGCATCAAGAAGATGTGAAGGACCTGAATCACAAACCGCAGTTGAAGGAAAGATCCACCTTGGTCAATGATTTGTTAGGTTCTTCCGATACAATTCGGTCAAGGGCTGACCGACATCACGACCTAATTGAGGGTACCCCTCAATGGGGGGGAGAATGTTCGTACCCAAAGGTACTCAACATGACCACACCCAACAAATCAAGAAGTAGCCAAGTTGGGAACAGTACCAGGCGCTCAGTAGCACCCACTGCATATGAGAATGGCTGATCAGCATATTATATGTCTCACTAACTCACCGTCTCACCGACTCAACGGCACACTGACCGGCCAATGCAGTCAGCACATTTTGCAGTGTCAGCCAACTACGCAAAGCCAACTACGCAAACTGCTACCATAATCATTATTCCCTGATCTACTTTAGAATATAGCTTACTTCACTAATCATTACACTAAACTTCCGTGTTCCAAGTAGTATATAAACATGTTCCAAATGAAGAATAAAACAGTTATCAACACACCTCTTAACTCCGCGGTTCTACTTCCTACATCTGGGAATAGGGCTCGTAATACACTATCTCAACTAACAGCTAACCACGTTAGCTCACCCTCAGCGCAGCTCTAGCATCGCCTGTGGTCCGGCATCGTAGTAACCATCGTTACCATTGCCGCGACGCGATCGTCCTGCCATCAAAACGTCCCCGTGCCAGCGACAAGTGCTCATTACCCCCTTGTCCCGCGGTGTGACCCGGAAGTGTCTACTTCGGTTAGGCACAAACAAATACAATTTTAAAACCCATTTCTATATTAATATTAGGAATTGTTCTTGGCATTTGGGAACCGCAAATAAAAGGTATAGCACTGAAATATTAAAAACGTTTGTCAAGTAAAGGAAATATTTCGTGTTGCTAAAATAAATTATAAACAAAAGAAATAGCAATGAAATATTAAAAACGTTTGTCAAGTAAAGGAAATATTTCGTGTTGCTAAAATAAATTATAAACAACAAATAATTCCGCTCAAAACTAGCCAACTTTCACATTTTAATCCCAATGACATAATGCGTTTCGCAATGCTTTAATTTCATTATGTTGTTTGGAATGCAAACTGTGTCACGCGGATTAGTCATCGTTTCGCCTCCTTGGGGACCAAAATCATCACCATCCCGTAGTTGTCGTGGCAATAAATTCAGGGCATCCGGCGGGGGCAGCCAGAAAAAGTCATATTACATCGCTAATTTATGTAGCACATAAGTTAATTTCTGTTTGTCTGTTATTTGTTGTAATTAGCCGACGTTCAAGCCGTTGTCCCAGGGGCCATTAAAACTCCTCCCTGGCCGCCGGAAATGCTCCAGGATATAAACAAACGAAAAACTGTTGCTTCCGCTGGCTGCGTGTGAAAAAATAGGAGAGAGATAGGTACTACTATATATATATATATACGAAAAGAGATGGCCGTAGTCCCGTAGTCCGGGCTAATTATTTTGTCGGTCAGCCAAAGTTCATAGTTCACATGCCGCAAAAAGGGGGCAAAAGCACCGCCCACTCGTCGCTGGTCCGTTTGTATAATTTTTATTATCAGGCCAAGTAATATAAACTTAATTAATACCCACGTCGGCCGACGGGTCGGGCATTTGATTCATGGCCTGCATTTGCGGGGTCCGGCTTAAATGCAATAATGGATGTGGCGACGCGGAATAAAAATAAAAGTAAATGTATAAAAATGTGCAAAGTACGACCGCAAAAAGTGTGAAGGCGTAAAGGTCGAGCCACGGGTCAGCTCCCAAAGTCGGGGCTTTAACGACGCGTCGACCTTTTTGGCACCTCTGCCTCTGGAAAAGGGTTTTCTTCACTACACTGAGAGGGTAAACTTTGTATTACAAATAATATTTATAAAATGCTTTTTGAGATGTTTAATGTCTTTTTACAAATATAAATCCACTTCTGACAAGTAAGAAAAGTTACTATAAATATATTTCAAAAACAATATCTCGGATATCTTTATTAAAAATATTATAGACTATGTCCAACATTTTTCACACCCTATACAATATTCACACCTAACCATTCGATTAAAAAAGCGATCAAAAAATCAATTTACAAACAATAAAATCCCCGCGGATAGCGAAACAAAATCTATTATTTTAAGTTTTTCATGTGCAGGTCAATCCGCCCTTCCCCGAATTGAATCACCCATTTATCCGCCCGCGTGGCAAGCTCGCACTTATCAACAGCTTACCGAGTAATACCTATGGAATCGCTTCCCACTCTGGTTGCATTCAGTGATGGCAAAGAAGCTATATTCTAACCAGTTTTTTTATAAAACATCCATACCTTTCTTAATATATAATATGAATATTCAATATTGTTTAGACTTCTTAAAACTGAGGTATACTTCTTGTTATTGACAGTAGTTAATTCCAAAATAGTTGGTATAGTTATATAGTATTATAACTAAATTTTTATAGAACTCCCATATCTTTCTTAATATATAAAAAAATAGTCAATATTATTAGGACTTCTTAAAATAAGGTATACTCTTTGTTATTAAGAATAGTTGGTATAGTTATATTTTTAAATAAACTTTCGAAGGTTTTCAATCTATTTAGCAAAGTAATTTTATCTTTTAAATCGTACAATAATTTCTTAATGTTTAAGTTCTGGCACTTATTTATTACGATAACCAAGACAGCTTATAAGAGAAAAATAAAGATAAGTTATTTATTTTTTAATACCCGATTTTATTTCCTTAATGCTGAGTTGTACTGGTTGCATTCTCGTTCCAGGAATGGCTCCTGTGCCCGCGGAGGGACTGCACCTGTCCAACCTCTCCGTTCCGCGCATTATCGACGTGGCCCAAAAGGCGAAGCTCTTCTGCAGCTACGCGATGGGCAATCGCACACTGAACTCCGTCAAATGGTACAAGGATGGCCTCGAGTTTTTCAGGTGAGCCCACCCAACGGCTGCGGCCATAGAGCAAATAAAAACGGTCCCTCCGAACCCGAACTCCCAAGCCCCATCCCATAAAAATATTTTTCGGCATTCAGTTTGAAATAATAAAATGTCGCCAGGGAGCCCCGGAGATTGGGAGTTGCGAAATGTGCCGGCGCATTCATGCAGATTTTATGGCGCAAATTGAAAACGTCATGAAACTGCAACACTGTCCGCAACAAAGTAAAGTCCCCCCTGCCCCAAAAAACAAAACAAAATAAAGGAAATAAAAACAAAATAATGGAAGTGGGCTGGGTCGCTTGAAAGTGTCGCAACTAATTTAAATGCTTAATTGAAATGGATTTTTATGGCCCGCCTGCAATTGCGGCCAGGTGACGCTGCCATATCGGGTCCAAATATGTGCGAAGAGGGCTTTTATTTAACTGGCTTAATTGTTGCACATTGCCGCATATACAACATATATGGCCGGAATATGAGGAACCGGCGACCGTAGCCCAGATCCATGCTCTCCATCCGGCACTTAATCGAGCGTGAAATTTTAACAAAGGTGTGTGTTTGGGCATTACAATTCTTTTTTAATGTTTTGGTTATTGATTTTTTAAAGCCCGCTACAAATATGGTGATGTTGGGCAGCGGGTAAAAAATTATTATTTATGCCAAATATCAGAACCATTTAACGGTTTATGGGCTTTGCCAAATGGTCGGGCACGCCCACTTTGGCAAAAACACTTGCATTTATAACACTCATAATCTGTTACCGAAAAAGAATTAATTTTTATCCTTGTTTTTACTGAAAGTTGTATTAAATGTTGGTTGCCTTTGTGTGAATACAATACTTGTTTTTAAATTAAATAATACTTGGGAAAGGGAATTTCATGATATCCCCTATTAATTAATACTCAATAAATTCAACAATTAAATTAGTTTAATTAATAATGTTGATCTTACCATAAATAAATCTAACCATTTTTGTTTTCAAAGTTTAATAAACCCCCTAATTTTACAGTTCGGAATTAAAATTGTAAATTTATTTCTAGAATTTTGATTTATTTCAGTGCACTTGGCCAACCACGCCTACTGCAGCAAGGTTCCATGTAAATTTGAAGCATTTTGGCGACCACATTCGATTGGCATGCCCAGTTCCAAATTATTGTTTTTGACATATTCGCGAGGGGGCGTGGCATTTCAGGACTGCTGTGGCAGAAGGGGCGGATTCTGGGGATGGCTTCCGAGTAATTTACTGCCGTAGGCAGTTGGCTTTTATCAATTACGCTTTTGTGTGAACGTTTTGATTGTGCGGTCTGCACTCGGCTTCAATTATTCATGTGCATTTGACACTGCGGTTGCTTCCATCTGTAACAAAAAACGCCACAAAAGATACACGCATTTCGAGTGTAATTCTGAATTTGTTCGGCCGTGCTTTTCTATTTGTTAAATTGAGTGTTTACGGACAACAAATCGACCTAACGACCCTTTTGGTATTTGCGCGCACTAAGAAATCCTACAAAAGATAGCTCTTAATTGTGGTTTTTGTGATTAATATTGCAAAAACCACTTTTATATGAAAAAGCCTTCCCCTCTTCGACTTTGTCTGAGTATATGTAACTGCTTTTAACAGTGGTCGGAGAGATTTTAAAACTAGTTTGCCTCCATAAAATTATTTAAAAATTTACAAATCTTACAAAAATTAAATTTCCTACTTTCCCACCAGAAATTCATTTTCATATTCGATTTTTTCGTATTTCCCATGGTTTTCAGTATTGAACCCAAAACTGCACTTCTAGATTCCATAACTTGAGTAATTTAATTCCGATTTTGACGTGGGATACCTCTTTGAATTCGTAGTTGAATTTTCATATAATCTGCATTCAAATTATTCTGTTAAGCCAGGGTCAAAATTTTAGCCCATTTTCATACTCGATTTTTTCGTATTTCCCATGGTTTTCAGTATGGAACCCCAAACTGCACTTCTAGATTCCATAACTTGAGTAATTTAATTCCGATTTCGACGTGGAATACCTCTTTGAATTTGTAGTGGAATTTTCCTTAGATCTGCATTCAAATTATTCTGTTAAGCCAGGGTCAAAATTTTAGCCCATTTTCATATTCGATTTTTTCGTATCTTCATTGGCTTTCAGTATGGGAACCCAAAACTGCACTTCTAGATTCCATAACTTGAGTAATTTTATTCCGATTTTGAGGTGGGATACCTTTTTGAATTCGTTGTTGAATTTTCTTATAATCTGCATTCAAATTTTTCTATTAAGCCATGGTCAAAATTTTAACCCATTTTCATGTTCGACTTTTTGGTATTTCCAAAGTGGTTTTCAGTATGGGAACCCAAAACTGCACTTCTAGATTCCATAACTTGAGTAATTTTATTCCGATCTTGACGTGGGATACCTCTTTGAATTCTTAGTTGAATTTTCATATAATCTGCATTCAAATTATTCTGTTAAGCCAGGGTCAAAATTTTAGCCCATTTTCATGTTCGATTTTTTCGTATTTCCCATGGTTTTCAGTATGGAACCCCAAACTGCACTTCTAGATTCCATAACTTGAGTAATTTAATTCCGATTTTGACGTGGGATACCTCTTTGAATTCGTAGTTGAATTTTCATATAATCTGCATTCAAATTATTCTGTTAAGCCAGGGTCAAAATTTTAGCCCATTTTCATGTTCGATTTTTTCGTATTTCCTATGGTTTTCAGTATGGAACCCAAAACTGCACTTCTAGATTCCATAACTTGAGTAATTTTGTTCCGATTTCGACGTGGGATACCTCTTTGAATTTGTAGTGGAATTTTATTTTGATCTGCATTCAAATTATTCTGTTAAGCCAGGGTCAAAATTTTAGCCCATTTTCATATTCGATTTTTTCGTATTTCCCATGGTTTTCAGTATGGAACCCAAAACTGCACTTCTAGATTCCATAACTTGAGTAATTTAATTCCGATTTCGACGTGGAATACCTCTTTGAATTTGTAGTGGAATTTTCCTTTGATCTGCATTCAAATTATTCTGTTAAGCCAGGGTCAAAACTTTAGCCCATTTTCATATTCGATTTTTTCGTATTTCCCATGGTTTTCAGTATGGAACCCAAAACTGCACTTCTAGATTCCATAACTTGAGTAATTTTATTCCGATTTTGAGGTGGGATACCTTTTTGAATTCGTTGTTGAATTTTCTTATAATCTGCATTCAAATTTTTCTATTAAGCCATGGTCAAAATTTTAACCCATTTTCATGTTCGACTTTTTGGTATTTCCAAAGTGGTTTTCAGTATGGGAACCCAAAACTGCACTTCTAGATTCCATAACTTGAGTAATTTTATTCCGATTTTGACGTGGGATACCTCTTTGAATTCTTAGTTTAATTTTTTTATAATCTGCATTCAAATTATTCTATTCAGCCATGATCAAAATTTTAACCCATTTTCATGTTCGGTTTTTCCGTATTTTCATTGGCTTTCAGTATGGGAACCCAAAACTGCACTTCTAGATTCCATAACTTGAGCAATTTTATTCCGATCTCGACGTGGGATACCTCTTTGAATTCTTAGTTTAATTTTTTTATAATCTGCATTCAAATTATTCTATTCAGCCATGATCAAAATTTTAACCCATTTTCATGTTCGGTTTTTCCGTATTTTCATTGGCTTTCAGTATGGGAACCCAAAACTGCACTTCTAGATTCCATAACTTAAGTAATTTTATTCCGATTTTGACGTGGGATACCTTTTTGAATTCGTTGTTGAATTTTCTTATAATCTGCATTCAAATTTTTCTATTAAGCCATGGTCAAAATTTTAACCCATTTTCCACTACAAATTCAAAGAGGTATTCCACGTCGAAATCGGAATTAAATTACTCAAGTTATGGAATCTAGAAGTGCAGTTTTGGGTTCCATACTGAAAACCATGGGAAATACGAAAAAATCGAGTATGAAAATGGGCAAAAATTTTGACTCTGGCTTAACAGAATAATTTGAATGCAGATCAAAATAAAATTCCACTACAAATTCAAAGAGGTATCCCACGTCGAAATCGGAATAAAATTACTCAAGTTATGGAATCTAGAAGTGCAGTTTTGGGTTCCATACTGAAAACCATAGGAAATACGAAAAATCGAATATGAAAATGGGCTAAAATTTTGACCCTGGCTTAACAGAATAATTTGAATGCAGATTATATGAAAATTCAACTACGAATTCAAAGAGGTATCCCACGTCAAAATCGGAATTAAATTACTCAAGTTATGGAATCTAGAAGTGCAGTTTTGGGTTCCATACTGAAAACCATGGGAAATACGAAAAAATCGAATATGAAAATGGGCTAAAATTTTGACCCTGGCTTAACAGAATAATTTGAATGCAGATTATATGAAAATTCCACTACAAATTCAAAGAGGTATCCCACGTCGATATCGGAATAAAATTACTCAAGTTATGGAATCTAAAAGTGCAGTTTTGGGTTCCTATACTAAAAACCATTAGCCTCTCCCTTAAAAGAATTTTTAAAAATGCAAGTTTTTAGAGAATGCAACCACAAGCTCATAGAGGTATCCCACTCTAAATCGGAGTCCAATTACTCAAGTTATGGTATATAGAAGTAAATGCACTTTAGCTTGCAGCCAAATAAATTCGTTTGTAAAATAATATTGCTGTTTAAATTTTACGAAACAATGGTCTTTTTGTCTATTGCTCAATACTAAAACACTTTAGTTTTAAATTCCCTTTAGATCATTTCTCAACACAGTTCCGATTCGAAGCGATTCAAAACGATTTTCCCCAATCGCCACGCTAATTGCTGTAACCAAATGCAGCATTCCCTGCATACGTACATACATATATGTATGAATGGAATTTGAATTCGCATTCGAATTTGAATTTTATTTGAGCTGTGAAGAGAATGCGGAGCCGAGTGGAACTGCATATTATTCATAATAAAATCGACAGCCCGGCCAAAAAGTGGATACAATTCGACGAGAGCTGCAGCTGTAGAAACTGAAATGGAAACCAAAAAATATTTCTTTTTTAGCATGATTCGCTCATCAATATTTCATGGTTTCGGTTTTGCGCAGCACTCGAACTCAAGCAGCAGCCTCTGTCTGTCTGCCTGTCTGTCTCTTTCTAACGCTGTGTTGCCGTCTCTTTCCTTGCAGATACTCGCCACTAACACCGCCGACAACAAATTGGTTCCCCGTTAAAGGTGTCACCATCGCCGACGGTTCGCCGCATTGCAATCAATTCATCTGCAACGTGGAGCTGGAGAAGCTCAGCGCCCACTCTTCGGGGCAATATAGGTGCGAGGTGTCCGGCGATGCGCCCGAGTTCAAGCTGATCGATCAGACGGCCAATATGACAGTAGGAGGTAGGTGCACAAATGACCCCCAAAAGCGATCCAGAGCCCCTGGCTAGACACAGTGGTCAGGAACTCAAAATGAACCCAGTAGACATATAACCTAGGCAGAGCCTACATTCCACTTATAAAAGTGTTCTTGATACATTTAAAAAACACAATGATATTTAAGAAACAAATTCCTATTTCAAAGAACTGACCACATCCTAATTTTCTACCTAAAAACTCACATCCTTTAAAACTACATAATAGCAACAGAATAATCTTTAAAAGACGAATTTAATTTTTAGATAACTTAACGTAAAACAAAATGAAAACTAAAAACTTATATTTAAACTTTTCAATTAGTTTAAGCTTTATTCAAAATATTACAATCCCATTAAACAACACCTCCCCTATAATATCTGATCCAAAACGAATACACAACACAACCCATTGTCCAATGTCGCTTTCTACCCACTGTAAAATTTTTGTAGCTGTCTTTGATTTATGTTTTGCAACAGAGAGACAACAAATTATGTGCAATTTTGCAAACACTTAATAAAATTATAAATGGTCCTTGCACGGCCACCAGAATTCGGGGTCGGGAGTTCGCCGCCTGAACTCCTTTCCATTTATCAATGCCACACCGGCGGAGTGTTTTCCGGGCGGATGGCGGAGGGAATCACACGGATTACCGGATACGGATAGATGGGTGGGGGGTCGGCAGTACGGTGCCGGAGGTTCTCGGGGTCGCGAACCTAGGGCAGTAGGCAGTTCAAAAGGGCGTAGCATAAACGCTGGAAAATTGTGACACGCGTCAGCCATTTGTATGAGTAATGATTGTTAATAAATCCCGACGTTCAGCCTGTGTACAGTGAACACCCCGAGCCGAAAGCCCCGCTGCGCCACCTGCCGCCCTAGCGAACAAATTCGACTCAATTGTGAGTTTTGTACGAATCAATTTATAATCTACAATGCGCGGTCGTTTGCCGTTGTCACGTGCTGGGCCTATCCAACAACAACCATGACCGGAGGAATGGCGCAAAATACAACAAATATATCCCAGGACCAGCTCGTTTGCGGCACTTGTAGTTGGGTTTGTTAACGTCATCGCCGCACCACCGAACCACCGCTCCACCGAACCACCGAAAGCCGCTGGCAACGCATCGCCCACCATTTTGATTTCGCTTTGATTGGCAGCGTACATGACGATGATTCCGCCCAGCACCCAACACTCTGGGCTGCACTGAACAAAATTACAAAACCTTTAAGACTATCCGATTTTGCAGTTTTTGTTTTTGTACTTCTTAGGCCAAGGAAACAGTATACAACAAATCTGAATTATTAAAAACTTGAACTCTTAAAACATATCTTTCAAAATTCCCTAACCAAACTAAGTTTGTTTTAAAATATTTAGAATTTATTTATTGATAAAGTCGTACCAAAGATTATTAATTGAAATAAGCAGTCCGCACGTTAGCAATGACATTAGGTCTTTCCGCTGTTGCACACTGTTCGTGTGGCGGCTTCCCGTTAAAAGGTAAGCTGCCGACCGCTGATTTAATTGGATCTGGTAATAGGCACTGATGAAAAATACTTTTTAACATTCATTAGGGTTCAACAAAGTTTTAAATTCTCCGTTTTTTTGTAGGTTTGAACATCTAGGAACCTATGATATATTTTCTAAGTGTAACAATGCCCCTTTTTGCCCCTTTTCTGCGGCTGATTGCGGCCAGGAGGAAGATCCGTCAGGCAGGCAGACAGTCAGTCAGAGTTTCGGTCGCTGGGCTGGCTCTACTTTGAAATTCAAATCAATTGATTTCGGTCCAAATGGAAATGGCCTGCTTATGTCTTTTGTTTCTAGTTTCTATGCGGCTCAAAATGATTTATTTGTCGCAATTTCGCCGCTCAGCGATTTGTCTCCTTTTTGGGGCTGGCAATACTTCTACATAGATGCTAACTGGATGATGGGCCCGGGGCCTCGAGTGGGTTTTTGTATTTGCGTTCGGTTTTGTGGGCGTCTTATTTATTGACGTTACTTTAAGAGATATTGATTTGCATAATGCGCACTTAGGCATTTGTTTACGCGTAACAATCAAATTTGAATTCGCATTTTCGTATTTGTATTGCGTCTTTAATTGGATGTTTGGCAGAGGGCAGACTGTTTGTGTGCTCGCTATTTGCATGTCAATTTGACTTTTATCTATTCAGCGTACTTAAATAGACAAAGTAAGCCATGCTCAAGTGGTTGTACATGGAAATCCCAGTGGCTAGATTAAGTGCCAGTCTGCAGGACGGCTTACTGAAACGTGGATGGTTTTCCCCGACGCCCCACGATTTTACCCCTCACCTGATGGGGTTTTCCTTGCTTTTTGCCACAATACTGTATTCTCGATTATTAGTTGGCATTTATTTATGGCTTCCTGATTTTCAGTGATTGATTGAGAGTTGTGAAATGTTGAAATGAGTGCATCAACAGAAGTGCACAGAATAAATTTATGGGCTTTTATGAAATGGAAATATTTTTGTTTGTTTTAAATTCCAAAAGGAATCTTTTATTATATATTATATTTTTTTATAACAATAAAATGTATCTACTAACTCATCACTTATTGGAAAAATAAAGTTCTGAACATCTTTGTCTATCCTTAAAAATTTTAAAATGATACACAAGTTCAAAGATTTATATATACTAGTAGCTATTAAAAGCGGTTGCGGAGGTTTTTTAGGCGGTTTTAAATGTATTTTGTATGAGTTGTTTTTAATTGCAAGCGTATACTCATCCCATAATCAGTGTGTTTGGTATTCCACGGAACCCTCCCGTTTTATTGCATTTCAAATATTGTGACCCCTCGTTATCTTCTGAGAATGAGCAGGAGAAAGTGAACGTGCGTACCCACGAACCCGAATCTCACCCCCTACCCTCGAGTCCTTGCTCATGACTGCTTGTGCGCGAAGGTGTGAAATTTTAATTTTGTGAGTTTTTTTCAAAATGTGCAGTTTTTATTTTAGAACAGAGAAAATTATACCATTGGAAAGGGCTTGAAAAATGCTTTCCAATGATATCAAATTTTTTTTTTTTTTTTTTTTAGTGAGGGGGTATACTATTTAGGGTATCGGAGGTCATTGTCGTTTTTTGCCTTTCTCAGTCGAGTAGTGGGAATATACGGGAGCGGCGGTTTTCGCAGCGGAGGTTTGGACGCTGCCGAGACTGCCGCTGCGATGACAGCCGCTGCGGTCTTATACTCTAGTTTTTCTTATATGTTATACGATTCCTTTTGAGGAGTGTGTCTAGGAAAAATGAGCTGAAGAATCACTTCAATGTTCAAGTTGTATAAGACTTATAGGATCACTTTTCAGGGCTGAGGATATCGAAATTGTTTGTGTCTACGATAAAGTTAGAGTTAGTGGATAGAAAAATTAGCTGAGGATATAGAAATTGTTTGTGTGTACGATAAAGTTAGACGGGTGTGTATAGAAAAATTAGCTAGTGGGATCATTTTAAGGTTTATGTTTTAAATTTCTTATTGGGAACACTTTTCAGGGTTTATATCTAAAGGCCACCCAATAATATTTATGTGTAGGATAAGAAGTTTAGTTTTAAGGATTTCTTAAAACGGTGCACTGAAGCGGAAAATTGCACCGAATTTCAAATTCTGCCTCTCTCGTATATTCCCACTACTCGACTGAAAAAGGCAAAAAACGACGATGACCTCCGATACCCTAAATAGTATACCCCCTCACTAAAAAAAAAAAAAAAAAATTTGGTATCATTGGAAAGCATTTTTCAAGCCCTTTCCAATGGTATAATTTTCTCTGTTCTAAAATAAAAACTGCACATTTTGAAAAAAACTCACAAAATTAAAATTTCACACCTTCGCGCACAAGCAGTCATGAGCAAGGACTCGAGGGTAGGGGGTGAGATTCGGGTTCGTGGGTACGCACGTTCACTTTCTCCTGCTCATTCTCAGAAGATAACGAGGGGTCACAATATTTGAAATGCAATAAAACGGGAGGGTTCCGTGGAATACCAAACACACTGATTATGGGATGAGTATACGCTTGCAATTAAAAACAACTCATACAAAATACATTTAAACCCGCCTAAAAAACCTCCGCAACCGCTTTTAATAGCTACTCTTAGCTTAAGGCTTAGGAAATTCGAATGGTTGCATCGCGACATCTTATGCCAATGCTGGCCCGACCTTAACTGACCATTTATTCATATCTTGCTTACACAGAGATTGCCTTTCCTTAACCTATGTCGAAGTTGCACACCTTCGATATTTACCTACATCCAGACCCCTCCTACACCACGTTCACCCCCGGTAACTTGTTATCAATCCTTGTGTTCGTTTTCCTTCTAATAACCATTCTACTGGGGTATTGGGCTGCTCCTTATGTTCGAGAACCAATCGGATTGGTTCTAGGAGTACAACATGCCTGTATGCACTCCCTGTAGATGTCAACCTGTTAAGTGAACATTCTGGACTATAAAAATGACACCACTCAAATTGCTCAGGATCAGTTCTTCAAATGCCTCAGTACTGCATACCTATGGATCTAACCGTAGAATTTATCGATTCGGAAAACGAGGTTGAGATTGACAACCTGGAATTACCACCCACGCAAGATTCTGATCTTGAAATAATCGAAAACTCGGATCTGGATCTTGTGCAGGTTTCCGACGCAGAAGATTCGGTTGATCGCCTTCTACAAAGCGTATTTCAACCGGCTGCATCGTCGACCCAAAATAGGGACCCAGGATTGGAGTCTCTTGAGTGGAGCCAGTTTCCATTGGGGACTACTACGCAGGCTTTCTTGGAATCCCTTATCACACACGAAGAAATGAAGATGTATTTCAGTGTGCACAGGAATTTCAATTGGACGACGACCTATCCAAGCCAGAAGATGAGGTTTTTCCTAACGACGACCACATCTTTAAAGAACTTATGGGACCTCAACCGCCACCGACTAACCATTATTTAACTTTGCTGGATGATGGAGATGACGACGCATTACTAGATGTTTTATTTGACCTAGATTCTAAACTTTTTAATTATAAATACACGATGCATAAAGAAAAATAAAGTAAAAACTATTTTAAAATTGAGGGCTTATAATTGTTTTTTATTTATTGAACAATTTTTCTTTGCCTTACAAATACTTTTTAGCTCTGCGTTGTGAACCAATAGACGATGCATATTAAAGTTGTATCGCAACCAAATTTTCCGTACTTTAGGACAGAAATAACAATAATAAAAGGAGGATTTCGATTTCTGATAGGCGAAGTTGTGTATTTTTAAGGTATGCGCTTTTAGGCCGCTGCGAGTAGTAAAGGATTTTGTTTCTGAACACAACTCGCAATGGTACCTCACCATTTCGATGTTTTTAAAAATAAACTGACTTTTCAATAAAAAATATATCTTATATAGCATTTGAGGGACAATTCTTACGTTATATATACTAACTTTATTTTAACGCTATTGAAAGATTTATATAAATATAAAAAGAGATAGACATACTGATATGTATTTCTGACTTTATTCTCAAGTATTACATAGTTTGAATAAGTATTTTGGTACATATAATGAAGACATATTGTTATCTCATTTACTCCACATGAATTGATAGAAATGTATAGTTTTTGACAAGTATAAAAGACCATGTAATTTCTGGTTAAAGAATTAGTATACAACAGTTAGGTA